CGGAGAAAGACCTGGGTGTCATGGTGGATGATAAGTTGACCATGAGGCAGCAGTGTGCTCTTGTGGCCAAGAAGGCCAATGGGATCCTGGGGTGCATTAAGAAGAGTGTCTCCAGCAGGTCGAGGGAGGTGATCCTGCCCCTCTGCTCAGCCCTGGTGAGGCGACATCTGGAGTGTTGTGTCCAGTTCTCGGCCAGCTGCTGGAAAGAGCCCAGTGCAGGGCTACAAGGATGATCAGGGGCCTGGGACATCTGTCCTATGAGGAGAGACTGAAACAGCTTGGCCTGTTCGGCCTGGAGAAGAGAAGGCTGAGAGGGGACCTGATCAGGGTCTATAAGTTCCTCCGGGAAGGAGTGAGGATAGTGCTGGCCTCTTTTCAGTGGTGGTGACTGACAGAACTAGGGGAAATGGCCAGGAACTAAAGCATCAAAAGTTCCACAGGAACTTAAGGAAAAAAATTTCTTAACAGTGAGGGTGACAGAGCCCTGCAACAGGCTACCCAGAGAGGTTGTGGAGTCTCCTTCTCTGGAGATCTTCCAAACCCGCTTGGACGCAGTCCTGTGCCACGTGCTCTAGGTGACCCTGCATGTGCAGGGAGGTTGGACTAGATGACCTCTAGAGGTCCCTTCCAACCTTAAGCACTCTAAGAAGTGTCTCACAGCTAGTGTACAACGTAATAAAATTTAATAAATGACATCATATTATCTATGAAGGGATTCCATTCCAGTGAAGCGACCCTTAGCATAACAACTTCTAAATTCTATAATGTTTTAATTTCTAAGGCGTATCAGGTAAAGGCAAGTTTTCTATTTGTGCTTTACCAATAGCTTACCTTTTGCATACTTTGAAAATATTTTTGTATAGGTACTTAATAAGTAAGACTTGTTACAAATTACGTACATGGAAAATGCACCTATTAAAATATTTTCAATAAGCTTAAAAACAAAATATTAAAGAAATATCACTTACTTTCTTCGTAACTGTTGTTCGTACTGGATCTCTTGAGTGTCTGAATTTCCTGGGAAAGTATAGAGAGACGATCTGACTGGGTGGGTGTTTCATCATCTTCTGGATCAGGCGATTCCTGCATCATCTCTTCTATTTCTTCAATCACCTTCAGAAAAAAATGAAAGGGTAGAAGTAATGATGAGATTGGATTCAGAAGGAGCATCATAGAAACATGCTGACATTTCTTCCCTTTCTTTCTCCTCTTTCTCTACAAATGAACTTGTTTTGTCAAGATAAAGTGGTCTCAAAACAAATAGCGTGTTGAAACTACAGTTACTTCCATATGAAGATACACACAGTTCTGCTAAGGGCAACTGATCTGAATAATGAGAAAAATAAAACAAATCTCAATTAAAGAATATTTTTAATTTCACTACACTTCACTAAGAGGAACTACTTTTTCCTTCAGATACTTCTTCTACAGATACTTTGCTACATACAGAACAAAGATTATACTAAAGAAAGTCACACAAAGACATCTAGGGTAAATGGAACTCCACGGTCTCAACAAGGCAAGGCAACACCTTCCTTTTAATCAAGCATCTAGGCTAGAATGTAAGATTCTCATGATGTTATTAACAAAAGTAGTTCTAGTACCTTGCAGAACAACTGGACTCTCACATACCTTTTTTTTTTTTTTTTTTTTTTTTGCTAATATATAGCATATTATATGTGGTCATTCAGATCGGTATTAGCTTATCATCATGTAACTATTTTATCATTATAATGAAATTATTTACAAAAGCTAACAGACAAAAAAAGCCCGAAAAACCTGAAATTTTACTGAGTTGGTTTGTGTGAAGAGAAGTGTTATGAACTGATCCTCAATTTGAAGCTGATATTCATCTCAAGGCGTAAGTCTCAGTTGGATAAGTAGTATGAGAACAGAAATGCACGGAGCGCTTATTTTTTGTTAAAGAAATGACCATTTTCCCACAGGCTAAGCTATTAATTGAATAGCTGAATAAAAAAAGATCTACTTTTGCAGATTTAAAGGCTGTAGACATTGCTGAGATCCATCTTGCAATCAAAAAGAACTGAGTTCAAGCTATCCTGTCTCTTGTACTCTCAGTAAACATGACCAGAGTTCACAGATAACCATTGAAACAACAATAAATACTCTTGCATTTGCTTACTAAAGCAGGGTCTTAATGTAAAGTCATTAACTTTACACAGCAGAGCAATTTTATAGAGAACTTAAGCAAATCCATGGCTTTACAGCAGAAGTCCTTAGATACAAGATAACGTCAAAGCTTAATAGCAGAACTGTTGATCTGCTCTAATGTTAGGCATAATTTTGAAGGACTTTTCACTAACCACAAAGACTTATGAAGATGCAAGAGTCAAACATCTATGCTGTCACATCTGAAAATTCCAAACTCTACCATAATAGTAACATTCTGAAAATGTTTTTTTTTTGCAACTCAAAATGCAAAAACAAAAACCTTAAAAAAGAGGAGGACTGACAAAGATTTCAAAGACTCTATCAACATCATCTGAAGCACTGGAATACTATTTTCAGAACCAAATCTGAGTGATGTAGTAGTACTGCATCCATTATTAATATCTTTAAATTAAAGAAAATAAAGAAACTTAGCTCTTGTAAAGACTTGTAAACAGCAAGGAAGAACAACAAAAGGAAACTTTAAAACAGCACTGTTTGCTGAACACTTCACCTGCTCTGCTGTGAAGAGTGGCTCATCGTTGATGCAGGAAACAATGATAGAATGCATATCCAACTGCTCTCTCAGCTCCTCATCATCTGACAAGTCAAGATTCAAGTTGTCATTTACCTAAGATGCACATATATAAATAAAACAAAAGAGAAACTAATATTAAGTTCCTTTTTTAAAAGAAGCTCCTTGCTCATAACAGAAACAAATGAGTCCTGCTGTGAATTAGCTTAAAGTTGAAGTACCTTAGCAACTGAAATCAAAATTGTAATTAGAGAAATATAGCCATTAAAGATAAAAATAAAATAAAAAAAAAAAACAAAAACAAAACCGCACAAACGTAAACAATAATACACTGATATCTGCTGGGAAGGCAGTCAATTCAATACGGATATTTAAATCAGGCTACTGTCTTAAAGGGAGACAAATGCAAATGCATCAGTGTGGGATGAAAGCCTACATAAAATATGTAATATTATATCAATCTTATTTTACTAGCTTTTATATTATTATTTCTATGCATAATGAAGGACATGATTTCTTTCTTTCTTTTTTCCTTTTTTTTCCTCATAATATAGGCATCTGCCCCAATTATAAAAGAGAAAACTTTGTTAAAGATCTGGAAAAAAAAAGGTGCAATGCTCTTCCCACACACGCACCACCAAATTATATTTATCCTTCAAATACAAAGATGAATGTATATTCTGAAAGTCTTGAATTCACTGAATTAGACAAAAAAATCCTTTCCTTTATCAGTTAAATCTATTTTATTCTCACACTGATATACTCTATTTTATTTACTGTTCATTTACTACTTTTTTTTCCCCCCTTTGGTTGTTACCCTTCTTCAGCCAAACCAACACAGAAAAACATCTTTAAAAAACCAAACCAACAAAACATATACAAAAAGGCCCACCTTCCCCTACCTCCAAAATCACCATTTCCCCACCTGTTGCCAGCTAGTTTTTGGACTAATTTGCAAACTTTAAAATTAGCGGCATAAAGTCTTATCTACCTGTTTTATTTTTTTCTCCTTGTTTAATTTCTCAAATCTTCCCAGTTTCCATGGAAACTTGCATAGTTTTCAGCTTCATTTTGGAGATGCTACTGAACTCCTCTAACAACATCTTAGAGACTTTAAGAACATATCATGGTTACTCATACCAATAAATTACCTAAAACAGGGATCACCTGACCTTTAATCCACACTCCATGCCCACTGATTGTGCTACGAATATGGGTGTATGAACCTGCTTAATGCGGTTTCAGGAAATCAACTCAGGGAACGGCCTGGTTAAAATGAACAATAAATATGATAAACAACTGCACAATCCAATGCACTGAATCACTCTCAAATACTTCCAGTCAACTACTTTCAGGGTCAAAGCTTGCTTTTTTCCCCTCACCCTCAGCGCAAAAAAAAAAAAAAAGATAGGAAGAGATGCATTTCAAGCACAAGTCCAATGGTGCATTATTAGTTTCAAATGCATCAAGGAAATGCTGTTTAGCTGCTAACATTCATTGTAGAGAATGCTAAAACAAGCTACTAGCTGGACCATATGTGCTGTCACATACCCAGAAGCACTGCTGAAGCTCAGAGCAGAAAAAAGATTGTGTCGGATGCTCCCAAACAGATGGGCTTTACACATCAGAAGGCACACCAGGTAGAGTGAAAGCTAAAGAAATCTGAGATATGTTTAATCCATTAATTGATTTTCCTCTGCTGGCAATACACCTAAATTGTTACTAATCCAGCAACACCACATTTTTATGCAGTTCACTCATAGCTGTCTGTAAAGAGCCTAGGAAAACTCTATTCATCTTTTCATCGTGATGCTTCATCATGCTTTTCACCTTAATGAGCATCGTATCTAGATGCTCATCAAGAAACCTATGTCTTCTGGTTCATCTTTTCAGCTATAGAACAAAGACACAAGGGAGTAGGAAGCAATTTTGTATTAATATAAGGATTGAATTACTCCAAATTCACTTATAAAATATGAACAAACATTTAGTAAAAGACAGAACAAATAAAAGTCAAATTCAAGAGAAATTCAAGAGAAAATCATCAGAACCACTAAGAGTTCAAAACTGTAGTTTGTGTCCTGCAGAAAAGATTTATTTTTCTAGGTATCCTTTTCAGCAGAACAATCTTTGTTTCTGTCATAGTAAAAAAAAGTAGCAGTGGATTACTTATGGATGGCAAAAGTCAGAGCATTCCTTTATGTCCAGGTTTCAGACATGCATACATTTTGAGAATACAACTAAACTTCAGTATGTTTAAAAGAAACAACCCATTTAACTCGGAAGACTTCAGGTCTAGCTTTCCTTCCCAAGTGTTTTAATTCACTTTAGAGGAGATTAGAGGATAAGCATTTCTTTAAACCTCTGTGAAACTTTTCATTCTCTGTTTGCTCTCCAGACAACTATTTTGCTTGTTAAATAAGAAAGAAAAAAAAAAAAGAAATAGGAACTATTGCACTTTACTGTCTGCTGGGACTCCTTGATTGCAAATTAATTCACTTTAGCTTCTGTCTTACTATAGAATGACATAGAAGTCATCCACACTGGATTTACTAAATAAGAACATTCCTTCCTCTTTCTCCTTCACTTGAAGATACTTCAGTATGAAAGGATAGGAGAAAGTTTTTATGCAAAACACTTCTAAAATTCACAACTCTGTCTATTGTGCTCTGCTCTAGTGAACATTGGTTTATTCAATCATCTAAATCTAACCTTGTATTATTTCAGATCAAAAAAGCAAATAGGTATGAATGATTGTTAGATGTTTATAAATCCTCCCATAACTAATTCCAAGCACTAAAAATATTTTTAGCCATTAAGATCAAAACTCTTTTATACAAACTGCTTTATCTCCCTACTAAGCATAAAAAAGGCCCTAAGTGGTATTTTTCGTAGTCAGAACTTACCCCTTTTTCTGAAAGATTCAGTGTTGGCAAGTGCAAAGCTCTGGTGTGGGAAGATTTCCAGTCAACTGGCATTACATTACCATAATTATCAGTCAAAGCATTCCAAATCCTGCAGAGAGGAATAAAGGAACAAAAATGCAGACCTTAAGATGAATAGCAACTGATCAGCAGTTAACATATTTTTAAGGATTATATATTTCTATCAACAATTATTTTTCCTTCCTAAGTATTCATCTACAAGTTACTGACAATATTTTAACAACATTCTGAAGTCAAACAAAAAACTATTTTGAAAAGCATCATGTTTTTAAATCTAAAACTTATGCACAGTAGTGAAATAAAACAGCAGGCTAAAAAGACAGCTTCATTTCAAATTAAACAACCATACTCAAAATCCTCTTTGAAAGTGTATGAGCTTTTCCTCTGATGACATTTGAGCCAAGCTATAAACTCTTCTCCCAGTGTTTCTGTTTTCCTTACCCTTTTGCACCTTAAAAAAAAAGGAATTAGCAGAGGCCAGCATCAACTTCAAAGCCAAATGTCAGTTTTTACAGCTGAGCTGCTTCTATAAAAGCAGTTCAAAAGTAAGTTTTGCAGTTTACCTTGAAATAACAAGTGCTACCCCAGAATATCCAAATTAAGGTACTTTGCCTCAGAATAACAAGCAGCTCTGCCCTTAACTCTTGTTTACAGTTGAGCCTAATCATGTTCACACTGCACAGTCAACTCTGGGCTTGGATACAAAGATCCATTCTGAAATATGGTTTCAGCTTTTGAGACAGAGGAGCCCTAGGTTGCCTCAAGTCAGCTAAGAGTTGATGTCTGTTTGGAGCAGTCATCCAGCTGGGCTCGTAGGAGGTCAGGGCACTGGCTCAGGCAAAGGCTCTACAACCACTTTTTTTTCATGGTTTTTTATGCTTATCTCACTCTTTATAACATAGACACTGAGTCTTTTGCAGAGTATGGTGTTTTGTACATTTTATCCTAGGAAAATAATTTAAAAATCTGGTGTATATCGTATACAGCAAGGTGAAAGGAAAAAAAAATGCTGCAGTGTTCTTAAAGAAGAAAAGGTGCCAGCGAGGTTTGCAGTTATAAAATAGTGTTAAAAAATAAAACCCACAAAACCAGCATAGCTCAGAAAGGCTCTGCTATTCAGCGACTAAAACAGAGATCGGAGGTGCAGTTTTCTCCGAGGCTTTCTTCCGCGCCTCAGCTGTGCAGCCCCAGGCGAGCGCTGAACTGGGGCGTTTTAAAGAAGTAAATACCACCCTCGCTGCCCATTTTGTGCTCCAGGACACCTCCCGTGGCTCCCCAGAGGGAGGAGAAGCGCAGACGAACCCAAAGGCCCGCGGGCAGCGCCCTCACACGGCCGGGGCTGCCCCGCGCCCCCGCTCCGGCCGCCCCTCGGCCCCGCAACGGCCCCGCA